ATTTTAAAAGATTACTGATAATAAATGACAAATACTTTAGTGTCCTTCTGTAAAAAATAAATCACAAAACTCCTAACCTCCACTGGCGTTACATTCATGAACAATCTTTTAAATAGTCAAGAAACTAGTCTGTAGCATGAAGTTTCCTTTGATTCCCCTTTTCTCCTTCCCCATGACATGACACACACAAGCCCAACTCTGCACTTCCACTAAGTTCTGCCTGTACAGGGTGTGGCCTCTGCATCAAGGACGCAGCTTTCAGGCTTGGCTCCACCTAAGACCATGGACAACCCTCACCTTAGGAGCAGGTATCAGTTTTATGGGACAACAAGTGGATCCAATCATCCAAAAGCAGGACTTTAAGAACTGAGTGCAACACCTATATCAAAGAGTGGACCTACAGCATCTAAAATGTTTTGTAATATTCTGACATGCAGAATTACTATTATTGCTGGTGGTAGTGGTGTTACCCTATTTGAAATACTGTGTATGACATAATTCAGTATTTATTTTTATGTATTTGTGTACATTTATAATTATGTATCTCCAGGAATACAAATGTTATTATTTCTTGGTAATACACTGGCCATCTTTAATTCCAAAAGTACCATTAGAATTTTTGATAAGTTGATACAAGGACTCCTGGAAATCAACACGGAGACTCTGCATTCACTGTCAGATGCTCTAAGGTCCTTGAAAGGTCAACACAAAATAAATTGCATAATTAACTATAAATTCAATTATGGAGTCACAGAGTGAGAGGGAAAAGAACACTGAGATCAAATTTTCCATTTGACATCCTTAAGCAGTAACTCAGTAGGCACCAGGAAGATTGAAATCACAGACTGACAGGTAGGGGAAATATTATTGGCTTTCAATAACAACCTTGGACCCAACAATTTCCTAGCATGTACATACATATTCACCATCTTCCTCAAAAGTCTGCAAGCAGGTGAATAAATGAGACATTATATCTGGTCCCATCCCAAAGCCTAAGAGCATCTTTTGTTCCAAAGAAAAAGACAGTTGGTAGCTTTAAAAATCAGTAAAATAGACCCTGAGAATTTGGGCATGACATAGAATTCCTACAGAACACTTTCTTGACATAGCAACTATAGAAGCAGAATGAAGAGCCTCTTCATTCTAGATCTCATTTCTTTACATGGCATGTAAAGGAATATGAATTCTTCCTTTGGGCGTTGGTGCTGCTTGTAAAATCTTTGTTATTGATATATTGCATCTCTACTAAGAATTTTAAATTATTTTGCCTCTTGAAAGATTTTGTGCTAAAGAACTGAATCACGTGATTTAAACCTCTAGAAAATATTTTTCACAATAAATTTACCTGTTTTACAAATTCTAGCTGAAAAACATAACAATGTAACCTTCTATTTTTGAAATTGCATCCTTTCCATTAAAAAAATTCAGCTGGACAAGGCTCTGGCAATCTCCTCTAACTGGATCTGCATCTAGTCAGAAGATGAACAAGGTGAACTCCAGAAGACCCATACAACCCACGTTGTTCCACAGCTCCCTGAGATCAGTGGAAAAGGTCTTTATCGAATGATGGAAACGAAGAAGGGAAAAAATAATTAGTGAACAAATTTATGCCTACAAATGGCACATTTTTACTGCTGCTCCATTCCTTAATGGAAAGGGATGTTAAAAATATCTGAAAAATACTTTCAAAAAATTTGACGCTTTTCACAAAAATTAAGTTGAAAATAAAAGTTAGGCATGAAGACTCTCCATGCAGAAATTACCTTCTTATTTTAAGTACATTTCTTAGAAAGCAGAATGAACATTTCTTTTTTTCCAAAAGGCAATAATTCAAAAAATTTTTCTTCAAAGGATTCTTTTTATTACATTTCAGAACCTGGTGAGCTGTGAAAACATGAGATGCCTCCTATCAAATTTCTACACAGAAAATACTTTCCTGTTCCTATAAACAACAGTTAATCAATTTTCCTTATCCTGGGGCATTTTATCTAAAAGTAATTGTTTAATGAAACTGACAGTTATTTCACCAGCACCTCTTCCCTAAAAAAATAAAAAAAGATAAAGAGCATCCCCCAAATGTCTGGTTGCTAATACAAAAAAAAACCAAACAACTCAGTCAAAAAGAGATCTCATTATAGCAATAAAAGCTATTTTGCCTTACAAAAATTGTCACAAGAAGTCCATGTAGGCAGCACAGCAGCTACCACACCTCAGCATCACCACTGAGTTCCAAGAATCTCAGTCAAACCACAGGAGACAGTGAGCTGAGCTGAGGGCTGTCTCTGGAGCAGCCTGCACTAGTGGTACAGTTTTATAATGAAGTCCCCAGATTGAAGAAAATATAAAATCATCCAAGAATAAAACTGTCTTCAGCAAGGGTTTCTCACTGATTTTCCCTCATCAATAAATTTGGAAATACCCACCAAGGTCAGTGACTTTGTACAGCTCCATCCATAACCACTGGAGATTGACTCTACTTTGGCCCTCCTGGTTTCATGATGGCACAAGAAAGACGAGTTAACCAATGTAAATAGTTGTGAGCAGCAGAAATTCTGAGTATTGCTCATCTTTGTTCTGGCTCTCTCAAATACAGTCCATAAACAAACCCCTAGGTATCAAATCATTTATCTGAGGGAAATTTCTGTAATACAGACCTACTTTTCTAGAAAAGTAGATGCAACAAAACAATGTAAACTACCCATAATATCACCTTGATACAATACATAGTTGCTGGGATACTGCATTAAATGTGCAAATGAGTCTGTTTCTGAATTCCACAATGCATCCAGGTTGCATTGAAGTGCACAACTGAATGAGAAACCAGTAATCCCTAAAAGCTGAAAACCACACAGGATAAAGGAGTAAAACCCAGCCCCATCTCCACCCACATGCGATGCACATTTGGAAATGGGGAGGGTGAGCAAGACCTCCAGCATTTCAGTAGATTCAAGATGACCCTGCTGAGCACCAGGAAGTACCAGAGAAGTGACTGTTCACTATAGTGATGTTTCTGTAGGTTTTGGTGGACCACGTGTTGTACAGAAATAACTGTCCACCACTCCAGAAGTATTTGCAACTGCTTCTGGAGGCACGGGACAAGACTGTCACAGAAACAGGTCTAAAGCCAGGCAGAGGCAGGAATGTTTTTCACAATTGCCAAACCCTGAGCAATCCCCCTGTATTCCAAGGAAGTCATTAAAGTCTCTGCATTTCCCAAACTTGGCCAGATTATGTAATTGTCTAAGCATAGATTTTGCAGTCAAATGTAAGTCTCCTAGTCTGTCAGGGTTAAAGTTGATTTACTGACACTCTGACTAAATGTAAGGTGCCCTTTGGGAAAGACATCATTACCAAACCTTGATGAAAAGCTAATCATTGGAAATCCTGAAATTTAAAGGGGAAATAATATTTTAATAACCTTAAGTACAGTGTTACATGCATATATGACTCTTCACCTGCAGAATGAAGCCAAGGGGATACAGATTCAAAAAAACAACACACAGAAAATCAGCTTTTCTGATGCATACATAAATTCACACCTTCACGCTGTAACTAAACAAGGAAGCCTAAAACGAAGCTATACTGTTTCCATTTACTGAAATTATAGAGAAGTCATCTTTCAAGGAATCAAGTATTTTAAGGGGTTGAAGTAATTAATCACAAGATAACTTTTGCAGCAGCATTTTGAGGGACCTTAGGATAGTCATGTGTTAATTAAGAACCAAGCCACTATAGTTTTGGCAAAAGGTACAGGTAACCTTGAGCCACAGTGAAACACACTTGTGAACTTCCAGTAAACGTTCATTTCAACTCACTTGCTGCTTGCCTGGAATTAAAAAGAAAAAAGGGAAGGGGGGGGGGGGGAGAGATGGAGGAGCTGGAGCTCATCAGTGACAAAAACTTTTAGGAAAAAGCAGAGTCCACAAGCTTTCCATCCACTCCAAACTTCATCACAACTTTGAACCTATCACTGCTGAACCAAGGAGAAATTAAACAGCCTACATATTGACAGCAAAATTGCCTCAGTATGAGAGAACTTGCTCTCAAGGCTACAGAGCCACCAAGGGGCAGGGAAGTAAAGAAGGCAGCCTACATACTCGTGAGCATCCATTTCCATTTCTCTCACTCACAGTATCAGTAGGACCACTCTGCAAGTGCCTTCAGGGGCTAACAGATGCACAAGAGAAACAAACTGCCGATGCAACTTGGTTCCTAAAAAAGTTCAAGCTGTTGACAGGACATGCAAAACCAAAAAGACCTTATTTTTCTTGCACTGTCTTTCTAGGCAGCTAACGATATGATTTTCTTAGAGACAAACAACCAATTATGAAAGCTCATATACTTTAGTACCTACCGCAACCCCATTTTCACTGCCTCTAGCACTAGGGCATTTGTCATTCACAGTGAAATACGTTGCCAGCACCCCTGGTAACAAGTAAATCTTGCTATTGTAAAATGATTTTAGCTCTCACTTGGACTACACTCTTGTCCTGGCCCCCATCCAGACACCACGAATTATTCCCTCTAATCCGGTCCATCCCCTCGGGTTTATTCCCAGGCAGTACCCGCCCCTTCAGAAAAAATGCTGGTCCGGACTCGGCTTTCCAGCGCCGTTATCCGCCTACGGCTCCTCATCTAAGCAGCAAATCCGCAACCTCCCGAACACTTCCTTTCCCCAGGAATGCGGAGGGGAGGGGAAGGAGCGGAGCCGGGGTTCCCCCAGACCCCCTGAGCTCCGCGGTCCCCCCCGGCCCGGGCCAGGGACACACATGCGCGCAGCTCCGAGCACTCCGCGAGGCACTCCTCGGCCTACGCCCGCTCCACCGCCCCCGGCTCGGTCCCTGCCAGCCCCGGGGGAAGGCCGGGCCGGGCAGGGCCGGGCAGGGCAGGGCAGGGCAGGGCAGGGCAGGGGGCGCGCCGGCCGGCCCCCATGGGGCGGGGGTCAGCCGTTTGCCCCCGCCCTCCGCTAATGGGCTTCAACTCCCTCCAGCCGCCGCTGCCACTCCGGCCCTGCGCGCAGGAGGAGGCGAAGGGGCGCATCTGCCGGCTGCGCCCGCCCGCCAGCCGCGGCGGAGTTGCATGGAGGCACCGGTCAGCGCTGTGCACTGGGGTAAGGCGCGCTGAGCGACGAGCAGCAGCGGGGGGCGGGCTCGGCCGCAGCCGGGCAGGGCTCCACGGAAACTTTCCGGTACTCGGGAAACCCCCTTCCGAGAGGAAGGGGGAGCAGCCCCGAGCCGTGCCGGGAGTGCCGTGCGGGGCGGGAGCACCGCGCTCGGGAGACCCGCCGAGGCAGGGCAGCGGCGGGATGCGGGCTGCAGGGGGCAAGAGCCGCGGCTGTCGCTGTGGCACGGGGCATGGGAGCAGCGTGCTGCGCTGGGTGTAAACACAGTACGGGGGCTGTACTACGGCTGACTGACTGCCAGGAGCTTGTGTGTTATAGATTGCAACTGTAGAAGCAAACGAGCTCCTCTTGCAAGAAATCTAACAGGTTTGTTGTTGAGGACACCTTTTTACTCGCGTGTTTTGTTTTGTTGCCTGCAACAAAGAAGTATAAATCTTTGAAGCACAAGTTATAAATATTAAAGCTCAAATGCATAGGGGGAGTATGTGTATCAAATTTTAGAATAAATTTATTCCAACCCACTTTGACACATACAGCCTCCTAATGTATTCAAGATGTACTTAAATTAGGAAACAGTTATTTTGTTTTACAATGGTAGGTGCCTGTTTCAGAGGCCGGGGAATAACTTAACAATAATTAGCATATTTATGTAACACACTGGTGTGTATAGAGGGAAGTTTGAATCTGAGGGGCATTAAGTATTGTTTCCTGAATGGGAGTGATTTGTGGAAATACAGAGCAACAACTTGTTTGGGTTTTTCACCCCCATTTGAGCCACATCTGTGTATATACTCACGAGTCTGATATGTCTACGCCTGCTCCCAAGAGTGGGTGCACATTAACACCACAGTGTTTCTTCAACTGACAGCTGGTTGCAAAACAAAACCAAACTGCTAAAATGCTATTAAGAAACTTTTTTTTTCTCCTTTGATTTTTCCCTCCTCAGTTATTTTCCTCCATCTACCCTCATCTCTGGAAGCTCCATCCATATTGGAATAACCAGCAATTATTCCAATCTCTGTAAGTAGTCTTTTTTCTTTTTTTCTTTTTTCTTTAACTGCATTAACAGCATGCCTTGCAGCCATGTACAGCTGTAGGAATATTATATTTAAAGTCCTCCAGCAGATAAACATCAATCCATTAAAAAGCAAACAGCTTCCTGACTAAGAAAACAACTGGGTTAACAGAAATTGACTTAACCGTGTGATCTATATACAGATAAAACTGACAGAAATAAGTGAGAGGATTGTCTGAAAGAGGACCATAAAATTTAGCGCCAGGTACAAGTACTTCAATAGTTCCTTTTAAAAATAAAATAAAATAAAAAATCCTTCTTTTCAGCATTTTCTCCTACAAAAAGTTAGCACATTTCTGCTAAACCCCATTTACAAATTGAGTGCACTGACATCAGTCAAAATTTGTATCATTTTGCCACTCACTAGTGAAACAAGTATAGTTAAAAATTACTTCCAGTCATTGAAATAAAATGGTTCCTGACACTTGAGTTCCTCCTACTCTCCTTTTTATGACTGACTTTTGTAGTAATTACATGAAAGTTATTTGAAAGGAAATATAACATTACAAGAGCCAATTCTGCCCATGTCAGTGTTTTGGCAGAAAACCGTATGTGTGCAGGGAGCAGAGCAGCATAACCAATCTCTTGGAAGAAAAATGCACATTGGTAAAACTATATGCACAACAATGAAAACAACCAAGATATCTCTCAGAGGAAGTACTTTAGCTCAAGAAAAGCCATGCTGAAATGTAACTAAATTGTCATAGAATCCCAGACTGGTTTGGGTTGGAAGGGCCCTTAAAACTCACCTAGCTCCAAACCCCTGCCACAAGCAGGGACACCTTCCACTAGAGCAGGTTGCTTAAAACCCCCTCCAGCGCAGCCTTGAACACTGCCAGGGATGGGGCAGGCATCTTCTCTGGGCACCCTGTGCCAGTGAGTGCCTCAGCACCCTCACAGGAAAGAATTTCTTCCTTATATCTAATCATCTAATTATTACTTCAGTAACAGCTTTCAAGCTAAGATACCCACTACAGGCAAGAGAAATTGTGTGATTAAACCTGAAATTTAAAGAAAGAAGAGGCAAAGGTTATGTTATTTACTTCAGAACATACATAAAGGAACAATAAAGTCAGGCGGCTGCCATCAGTCATGACTAGAAATATTGTCAAGCTTAACATTTGACGCCACAACCCACCAACTTGGAGAAATTACTCACTCTGTCAATACTAGGTATACATAAGCTTTAACCTGAAGATAACTCGGGTAACTAGGAGCAGAGCTGGGCTCGTAAAGCTGAAGACAATGAAAAACCAAAGAAATGCAATGTGGTGTCTTTCAGGTTGCCTGGTAATCTCCTAAACTCCTAGAAAAAACATGTTAAAGTTGGGCTCAGGAGCAAGTGCAAAATCAAGAGCTGCTGATTAAAATTGTTCCCTCTCCAGCTCCCTAATAGATGATGAACTAGCATCACCTAAGTCATAGAAATACATAGTAACAATACAAAAATTCAAAAAAATTGTAAATGCTTGCATTGGTATAGCTACATGTGGTAGTCTGCTCACATATTGGTGAATTGCCTGTAGACCTGGCAAGAATACTTGTAACACACGTTGTTACAGGTTAATAGTGCAAAAATACTGTTCAGGTTACTTTTCCACACAACTACTGGCTTTACGCTATGCACAATATGACATTTAATAGCACTTCATTACACATGTAGCCAGTATATGTTTAATTTGGGGATTCTTATCAGAACAACACAATTTCTTATCTATTCCTCATTTTCATGTTCCTTAACCCTTAAGCTCACACTTTTCCCTGCCACGGCTCCTCCCTGAGAGACCACTTCATGGCAAGACAACTCTGTATTGTATTAACTTTACATTAGTGGAGTTTTGTAATAGAACTGTTGCAGCAAACCAGTTCAGAGTAAGTGACTATTAGTTCTGTATCTAAGTATTAGTAAATCTTTATGATAACTGTATTCAACTATGTCTCTGCTGTTACATCTAAGAGCACAAGGGATGTCCAGAGATATATAAAACATCCATTTGGATGCATGAATAGGGAAAAACAAGTTATAAAATATGCAGACATCCTTTTAAAATCCAGAATTAAGATTCCTGTGTTATAACCCTCATAGAGCTTACAAAGTTACTCTTGCTAAATAGCACTGTCTCGCAAAAATCAAGAAGGAATGAAAAGGTTCATACTGTGCTTCTCCTCTTTCTACATGAAAGCCCACTTAAGCCAGGCAAAGGGACATACTTATTAAAAAGGGAAGACGCAGAAAATCCTGACCTAAGTCCATAAGGCTCTTCAGTAGACACTTTGGATGCTGTCCCTCAGCATTTGGCTCACACAGCAACAGCACAGCTGTGTTGTCACTGACTACAGCACTGCTAGCTGTGCTCTGAGACCCCAGGATGATGGGGCGAAGGTGGAATAGACTTCTACTCATAAGCAAGGAAATCTTTCTGTGCACAGCAAGAATAAAACACTTTCTCCACTGCTGCAGACTAGGGAGTCTGTAGCTCATGTTCTTGATAGCAAATCCTGTGTTTTTCCCAGAATTATCTCCTAACTCAGTTGGTTTAACACAGTGTCTGGAGGTAAGTACTCGGTGAACTGACCTCACATTCATATTTGAGCCCAGTGCCTCAGTTCAAACATATGAGGTAACTGTAGGCTCTGGGGTTTGTGCAAATATCTTACAATGGTTCTGTTGGCTGCACCAGATTTGAGAAATACAGAAAGATGATATTGCTTCAAGCCTGTGCGTGACATCTCTGCTGTGAGCTGGAGTCCTGGAGTGAGTACATTATGGCAGTAAGTTTAAGAGACAGACTGATAGATCTGCACCAAGATTTCTGCACACCACAGCAGTATATTCCTTTGCACTTGTGGGATGCCTTGAGAAGTGTCAGTGATCAAAGCACCAGCATCTACCATCCATCAGCAGTCTCTTCTCTAACAGAGAATGCCAGAAACTATGTAGGCCTGTGATGCCAGGCAGCAAGGGAAGCACACACTCTAGTTGCCCCCTCTTCTTCAAGTGCACAGCAAAATTCAATGCCCAGAATAATCTGATCTTTTTTCCTTCACTGATTTCCTCATCTCCCTCCTCAAAATGCAGACTTTTTCTGAAGGCACCAAAGAGGCTCCCATCTCCCTTTCCTTAAAACCATACCCCGTATCACCCTACAGTTTTCACTTCAGGCTTTAGTGACTCCAGCTGCAGAAGAAGGATGTTCAAATGCCTCCAGAACCCCAAGTCAGAATTCTTTGTTGTTCTACCCTATAAAGTCATATCCTGCTCAGTATCTTTCTGCATCAATTTATTTTATGATGGCTTGAAATCATCTGTTACATCAAAAATTGTTTTTTCACCTTTTCATTTATTAGACTGGAATCTGCACCAGGAAGGTATCAGTTTCTCTCCAAGCCTGAAAATTTTTTGTCGTTCATGAGGATGTAGGCTGACAACTCCAAATAGCTCATTTCCACTGTAACTACTGACTAAACGTTTTGGTTTCAGCAGCTTCTCCCAACTCCTACTTCCCATTCCCGATTTTTATATATATATATATTTTTTTTTTTTTTTGGTGGAGAGATTAATAGATTAGAATTCATTCCTTTGCAACTATATGCAAAAATACAGATTACAGTTCAAGCACACTCCCTATCAAAGATATGTAGAAACGATACTTTAGTTTTTGAAGGGGATCTCAAACTGGTAGAAGCAGCCGTACTGAGAAACCTCTCAGAAGAGTGGGGTTAGAGGGAATAGGTTTTAGAGGTGCTGAGCAGTATTAACTCTTGCAGTCTGACATTTAATTATAATTATTTGAGCTATACATTCAAGCACCTAAAAATGCAGTAGATGACCACACGTGTATATGCAGGCCATCTTTCAAAGAGATATAGACATCTAATTGATGATGAGCTTTTGTAAAGCCTACTTAAGAGTTTGTGTCCTCAGATGCTTTCAGAATTTGGCCACAAATTCAGAGCTGGCAGAAGCAAGCAATTCAGTTGGCTTTGACAGCATTTATGCAAACAGTGATTCTAGCTTCCAGACTTAGTACATATCTTATACAAGCTAGAACTTCCTGAAATCCCTCAAACTGTTTTTTAGAAACAGTGACATTATATGACATTATGACTCCTACAGTCTTCAAGGACTGTGTGTGAAGGTAATTCACTGGAGGACACTCCCGCCAAAGCTGCATGATCACTGTCTTCTTGAGGCAAATAGTGCTTCTATGACACTTTTGTTTCTTTGGCCTCTTTGTGCTAAGTTTCTTATCTTTCAGTTGCTGGTTTTAGTGTCAGGTATGTTAATCCTTTTACTTCTATCATTAAAATGAGGAGTTTCCTTTCAGCAACTGTTTTCTTTCTTTGTATAAGCATTATAAAAAGAAATAGTGAAATACATGCATTTTTTAATTTCTTTTTTCTACTTTTGAATTTCTCCTATTGGCAATAAATCTTTTCCAGTTTCATGGTTTAAGAGAAGCAATTCTGAAAGCATCTGATCTTTATGGGTTTTCAGCATCCTAGCTTTAGTTTAAATTAATTAGCTGCAAAACAGTTGCAGCATTACTTCTACTTTAAAGACCCAACTAAGACAGAAGCTTTATTGTGCTACGTTCTGCACAAGGGAATTGGCCTTGTCCATCCAGATTGCAGGTGTGCAGGTGTCCAGATAACACAATAGGTAGGTGGAGAAAAAAAGGTTGGCAGAAAATTTAATTGTTTCATATCGCATAGCTATTTAACGAGAAAGTAAGGCTGTCCTGGCTCCTGGACTGGTATCTGTACATTACTTGGCTCTGACTCTTACTAACACGCTAGCTGCACTAGCTGTTTTCTCTTGTAGCATCTTTTTTTTCCATCTGTGTCCAATCCCATACCTGTCTTTGTTCTTGGGGTTGTCATCCATCAGTTTAAATCCTGACAGAATTATTCTGAAGTTACACTTAACCTCAACTTTCAGTTC